TTGGCTTCCTTTAACAAAAAATTGCGAGTTGTTTATTTTCAACAACCGATCAGCTATCAGCATCATATTCCCTATCATCAACAGTCATACTTAATAGAGAACTAGTTTTCTGTTTACATTGTAACCACAAAGGGATCTTTGGTGACTGGCTGTTTTATATAATGTGACGCAGCAACAAAATTAGACTAAAAGATTGTTCTTCCGAAATGTTTTGAATGTGTGATATTACCTTAAAAAGAATTTCATTGAATAATAATATAGTACACAGAAGGATTGGCGATATGGGTGAATGCATTGAAAATTCTTTATGCGAGTTCTCAGAAACAACTGAATTCCCTATTAAGCTTGAAGAGTCTACTTTGTCAGGAAATTAAGCTTTATTTTTAGATTATGAAAGATTTATAAAAGAAAAAATATTCCCAAAAATTATTATCTGTAAAATCTTAACACAACTACTAAACTAATACAAAAGGTGAAACAATATTTAACAAATTTAAGATTTTTGGACAGAGAGCGTAAGTAACATCCTCCCCATTGCTACTGATGATGCATATGCTATGGAAGGAAGACACTGAGGCTTTCTGGATTAAAACAGGCTACACTGAATGTATTACCTATTGTTGTCATTTATTGACATTTAATATCAAAAATCTTAGTGAATGTTTGCATGGTTGAGTATATTATATCCTTAAAATAATAACAATGTTAATAAAATCAAAACGCATGCCTTAAACACTTTTGATATTATAAATTGATTTTTAAATGAGAGAGTATTTATTCAACTTTATTTGGAAAATGATGAAGATTGTAATAGTTTACTACTTAAAATGAAAGTTTATTGGTTATCTAAAATAGCATGTTTGGATCTATTTTATGCACTTGGACTTGGTCAAAGAGCACATAAAATGCAATGATTCGCAGCTCAGTTTAATTAATTCAAAAAATGGCTTAGCTTATATGACTAACTTATTTGAACAAATTTTGCAAAACCAGTTTTAAGCTACAAAATGATCAATTAAATTCAATTGAAGCTAAAAGTTATAATACCTATATTTACTGCAAAACTTTTCCTATAAAAGCTAAATTTGAGAATTGAAGAATGCTCTTAGTTTATAGGTCTTTCAAAATTACAAAAACAAGATAAAGATTTGCTTGTTTATTGTCAACACTTAACAGCTCTTCATTCTGACATCAGCTTGGAAACATTCTTCCCCTGGTTATTCAAGATTGGGTGATCGCCCTTTTGCAAGCAGATCGACAAACTCAGATGAATCCAAACAAATACAGGAGAAATTTATTGAAATATCCATAAATGAGAAGCTGAAATCAATGTTTTGGAAAAGGATACCACAAGTTTTGGTTACAGAAACACATATGAATTTAATATCCTGTATTATGAGTCACTGTAATGCAGATGTTGATTGTTTTCCATTAACTTTCTATCTAGTAGTATGTGGATTTAGTGTACTTATAAGCCTCATCACAAAAAAAAGAAGCTGAAATAATTAAAATTGGAAATTAAAACTCATGAAAACTTCGAAATGCTTCTAGCAAACATAGAGCCAAATATAAATATTCTGATGCCATTCCATCAGGTTCAACCATCTCTTCAGGGAAAAAATGTATTTTTGTATTTTCAAACAAGAGTTATAATTTAAATATCAAAATGTTTTATTTATATTTTAATTTTGCATCACCATTTACCATTCAAGATATTAAAGTTAAATTTGCAACTTTCCTGGTATGCAGTTAAGTAGAGGTATTTCTCTTGTGGATTCATGGTGAGGTTTTTTGCTATAAGAGAGGGTCCATAGGCACAGTAAGTTTGGGAACCCACTGACTTAGTTGTTTGTGGCAAGCTTCCACTTACATTTAAAGGTGGGAATAAATATTTCTTCACTATCATAGATGATTATAGTAAATTAGTAACTTTATAAAAAATAAAAATACCCAAAACCACCATAAACAAATTAAATATTTCAGAAATAGAAAATTAATTAGTTTATGCAATGCTACCAGTGATGAATTCTGTAACACGCAGTTTGAAAGGTACTTAGTCATAAATGGAATTAGTGTTGAATGTACAAATGTTTACACCTCAGAAGACCAGAAGATAAGGGTGTATGAATGTGTTAATTTCATGGCATTAAACGCAGTTAAAGCTATGCTTAATGATAGTAAAATGGGAAAAAATAGAGAGCAGAAACTCTTGGCTACTTTGCACATACCTGGAACATGATGTGTTATAAGAATAACCAAACCTCTTATGAAATCTTCAATAGAAAGTCCAGTGTTACTTATTTTAAACTATTTGGAGGTAAAAAACAGACTAGAAATAAATTAGAAATGAAATGCAAAGTAGGACTTATGGTACAATATGCCCAAGAAATTAGGCAAATAGAATATTGCTACCAGAAGAACGGAGATTAATAGAAACCATGTAATGTGAAGTTTGGTGAAAGAATGAATGCAGTAGATACCACCCTGTGCCAGAAACTTAAAAATTAGTTTAAAGTATTAGAATAGAAATGTTATTAGAGTCAGATAAAGAACAGGAAACTACTGAAATAAACAGAGTCATACTGAAAAGAAGACTCTGTTTACTTCAGTAGTTTTCTGTTCAAGACAAATTCATACTGAAAAGAAATTTCAGACCTAAACTGAGAAAGAAAAGCAGCTAAAAGACCATACGGGACATGTACAGATATATATTACAATGTAGATGGAACAGACACTCATTTTAGATCACATAACGACATCGAAAAATACTGAAACACTAAAAACATTTAATTTGAGAAAGATATGTTTGATTTTAGGGGCATAAACAAGTACTCCAGAAAAATTAATTTAGTTTTGTAGAAAAGGAGGGTAGTTCTGTAACTGAGGGAGCAAATTCTACAAAAATTTTTACCCAACAAAATTTTACAGAAGTATGGAAATCTGCAATGCCGCAAAATGGGATAATAACAAGGGTAAAAATTCAAACAATAATGAAAAAGAGTGTTTGGGTATTAGTTGAGAAGTCAGAAAGGAAAATATAGTAGAAACAAATAGGTCTATACAATAATGAAATGAAAAGAATGAAGTGGTTAAATATAAAATGCATCTTTGTCATACAGGAATTCAAGCAGAAAAGAGAAGATTTTGTTGATGCCTACCGTCCCTCAATTAATTTTTCAATCATATGAATATTTTTTACAAAACATGTACATTTGTACAGAAGGACTAGCTGTTAATTAGAGTGAAAACACTTATTTATATGTAAAAGCTAAATGAAAAAATATATATGATTCAGCCACAGGCCTTTACTGAAAGGAAAAGTGTGGTGGTGTGGTGTATTTAATTATGGCAAAGCACACTAGGGCTATCTGCCTAAGAGGAGGGATGCCTTTCGTGGAGGACTTTCTAAGGGAAACTGGCTCGTATACACGTTACACATGGGGAAAACCACGAAAACGCCCATGCAGCCAGCCCGTTCGCGGGATTCGAACCTCGGACCGAACTACCAGTGTTCAGCGACTTTACCGCTCGGCCGCTGGTGGGCGAAAGGAAAAGTAAAGGGTGTTTTATTACACAAGATCCTTTATGGTTTGCATCAGAATATCTGCGAATGGTTTTATTAATTGTCTTTATAAGAGCTTTAATGTTATTCTCTTGTTATATGTAAATGGTGTTATAAGTTTTAGTGAAGATCAACATTGTATAGATAAAGTTGACTAAGTTTTTTTATACTAAAGTTCTAGACAGAAGTAGTCATTTGAAATTGAATTCTTAGAAAACGGCAATAGGACAACAAAGCGAGATACATTAGCAAACATGCATCAAAGAAATTTTTGAAAAATTCAAACACTTTCAGATAACAATAACTGTACCTGCCATAACCAAAGGTATCATTCTCACAAAATTAGATTGTCCCTCTACAAATACAGATATTGATGAAATGCATAAATTACCTTTTCAAAATCTATTAGGATATTTGTTTTTGTAGATACTATGAATAGGTCTTATATCACATATGTGGTAAATATCACAATTTTAGAACCTAGGCATTATACATAGGGAAGTACTGTTGAAATTGCTCAATCTCAACAGTACTCAATCATATAAGTTAAACTTATCGAGAATTAAACATTTAAATATTATCCAGATACTTATCATGCAAGTAATAGGAATGACCGATGATGGGTGGATTCATATTATATTTAAACATAGTACCGGTAATTTGCAAAGTATTAGACCTCAAGTTCATCTCCAGTAAATTAAATAATGCAAACGTATTTACAGAAGCAGTAATAGCTATGGATTTGAAAAAGGTTTGTTTAACTTTTACAATATTTAAGAAATGTGTCAACATTATACTGAAACGTGACATATTTTATGTGTTTGCAAGTTTTCTTTTACTTTGCATGAGAAAAGGAAGCTATTGTTGGCTTAATGTTTTGCTTTTTCCTCAGGCATATTTGATCAGAGCCTAGTCGGCAGTAAACTGACAGGGTTGCCACTGACTGGCCAATGATAGTTTTGGTAAATTGGGCAATAATGTGTCAAGTGAATTTAATAATATGGAGTCTGTGAACTCAAGCCTTTTTTTTTTTTTTTTTTTTTTTTTTTTTTTTTTTTTTTTGGCTTTGGCTTTTATATAAAGGCTGCTGTTGCAACCCAGTTATCTTAAACTGTGAGTAAAATAAATGTTAGTTTTATTTTAGATGTGTTTCTGCTTTTTATTTCTGAAAAGCAAAGCATGTTTTTCAGCATATTGCTACACCTTTCCAATGTACTACTTAGCCTCTTTAAATACAAAAAAGGGGGAAGGAGTTTTCCCCCTCTCCAAGCTGTATAGCTTTCTACAAAAAATTGTTTTTTACATATTGCCTATAGCAGTAAATATCCAAAAGAATTTAAAATGACTATGCAAAATATAATTTTTACAATCAGGTAAAATAATCTATATTTTTCTAATTAATTCTTACATTTTATACATATATTAAATAGATACTTACCCCACCCAAGATTTTTATGTCTTGAGCTAGATTATTTTCTTGCCTAAAGGATTTCAAATCCAAATAAAAAGTTTTTTTGCTGAAAGGTTTTGCATGTCCTTTTTCTTGCTTTGCAGTCTTCATATTGAAAACGTTGCGAAATCCTACTTAGCTTAATTTAAGAAAATAACATAATATATTTGCTACTGCCCATCAAGTACTTGAAATCCTTAGCATAAAAGCATATTTCGCATGTTTTACACAAGAGTGTTTTCATGTGAAAAGGTCCTTCCTGCATGAGTAAACATTTGTAGATTATCTATAAATATGGTACCTGCAAAATATAATATAATGAGACATTTGTAAAACCATAAGAGAAAAATATATACAGTTATTGTTAGTTATTTAATTTTTGCTATTTTTTGTTAATAACTATTATTACTTATAAATTTTTAATTAATATTTGATTACATCAACATAAAAACTACCAATGAAATTTCCACTGATAATGCAGCATCTGAGACTACCAAAAAAAGTTTTTAAATTACTCATGAATTACATGGCACTAATCTTTGACCTATTCCTGTAAAACATATATAATGTTTTTTTTTTTTTTTTTTTTTTTTTTTTCTTTTAATTTGCATTATTCTTAATGGTCTTTGAAATGCCCTATCTTTATTTGTATTTCCAAATCATCTTCACAAGTAACCCCAGAAATGCCCCCATTTCCATTTATGTTAAATAAAAATTTTCTTAAATTTTAAAAACACAAAATATATCATTTTCATCAAGAGACATAAAATGACAACATATTTATGTTTCAGTATCAAAAGCCAGTGTATTTACAGTGTATTACTAAAATTTGAAAAAAAGTAAAGTTTGATTCCAGCTAAATTTTCATTTCTTCAATGAGAATACATTTTATGTTTTTAATTTTAAATTTAATTGAAAACTTGAGTCACAAAAAAACATGGTCAGTGTTTATTTTCCCCTCTTTTCTTAGTATCTTATATCATACACTTGAACACATCAAAAACATTCGATATTATCAATAAATGCTTTGCTACCTCCCTCGTCCCACTTCTAGTTTTTCCTGCTTAATATTTAGCATCTATTATATGTTTCTAATAAATTCCGAGTTTATTTTTTTGATTTTATTATATTGTTAGCCATTTGAATATACTTCTTATTGTCAGGATGTAAGTTAAAATGCCACAACACAGGTATATAGCTGCCTAAATCCCTTTTAAAAATATCACATATACCTATAATTAGGCTTCTGAAAATGACACGATCGGTCCCAGATAGCTAATTATGTCTAGGACTCTCTTGAATAGAAACACATAATAAGTAGCCATAAAAGCCGAAATAGAAGAAATTAATTATAGACGAGAGTTCCCCCCCCCTTCTATAAAGTATAAAACTTAAAAAAAAAAAAAAAAAAAGTTTTTACCAAGATCCAGGTATTTTAGGATGTGATGAAAAGCGGATTTACTTCACTTCACAGGCTGAAAAGGAGGTTTGTCTCTGACCAGTGAGCCCGTCGGCAGCGTCAGAAAGTGCAATTTGACTAACAAAAACATTATGCTTTGTATCTGGTAGGATTGACATGGTATGCTCCACAATGAGTATCTGGAAAAAGGTAAAGGTGTACAGCAAGATTCAAATCTGTGTTGATGTTGCTATCAAGAAAAAACGTTGAACGGAATTCTGGCACAAACAAGCAAAACCACATGTTCACCAGATGGACTCTGTATGGACTCAAATGGGATCTTCTGCCACATCCACCATATAATCCTGACATTGCTACTTCAGACTTCTACCTTTTTTCACACCTACAGCTACATCTTGCTCGTGTTATCTTCCATTCTATACAGGATATCCAAAATGAGGTTGATCTGTTTTTGAACTCACAACCACATTTCTGGACCGAAGACTTTGAAAAACTCCCAAAACATCGAAAGAAAAATCATAGATTTGGGTGTCATTACTATCTGCACTAAAGGCGCTCCTTTCATGCATTTTTTTCTAACTTTATTAAAAAATTTTTTTGATGGGAAAACTTTCATTACAACCAGATATTTATGGATTGTTAGAAAGAATATTCCAGTGTAGCAATAAATAAAGGTTATCAAATATTGCTGGAGATGTTTTACACCAACATATGAGCTGATATAACTGATAAGTACCACTGAATGTAATTAAATATATATATTAATTCAGAATTTGAATTAACTACAACCACAAAGCTTGGAATATTAGTATGTTTTTATTTTGAAATTCAAGTGTGGAGGCAAGTCTGAAAAGCAAGATAAATTCTTTTGAAAAAAATTTCTTGATATTTAATTTAAATTTTATTTACCGAGATTCTAAAACCTTGCATTGACTGCAAAAATAATTACCAAGTCTGAATACCTGCAATAAAAAAAAGCAAAATCTCAAACTGAAAGTGCATTGCACCTTTACCTGACACTTTAGAAATTGATTAAGATATCAAGATCTCTGTTCAGTTCATGGGCAGCTAATAGAAAATTTAACACTGAAAAAAAAAAGTTAGACACTTTCCAAGTTTTTGGATATATAATTTGATGGTTATTTAAAACTGGATATTTCCTGTATTCTTAGATGTAATATTAACTTAACTGTTAAATCAAATCTTAGTCATTTATATCATCTTCAAAGCATAAATGCTTCGAATCTGATTTTCTCTTCTGAACTGCTAAATATAGGGTTTTAAAGTAAGTTTCCCACCATCACAAATATTGACTGCACAAATAGTTCCCATGGCGTGTTTAATCATATTTTGTCAAACAATTTTTGGCATTTGAAGGAAAGAGACTTGCTTTAGAACACTGTGTTTTGAAATCTGTAAAATAAAACCATTATCATTAAGTACAAGGTGTCTGAAAATGGAACTCATACTACCATTTACTTCCGGTTCTGCTGTAAAAAGTCAGCTACAGAATGTCATCAAATCATGTGTATATGTTTAGGTACTAATGTTGTATCATATAACACTATGAAGGTTTAGTACCAAAAGTTCAAAAACAAGGACTAGAGATAGAATGCTCTGGCCGGCCTACTGATGTTCACGAGGCCCAACTGCGAGAACTTGTGGGAGAAGATCGGTATGCAACCACTCAAGAGCTTGCTAAGGAGTTAGACGTACTTGACATACAAGTTCAATCGCTGGGTGCCACATGAGCTGACTCAAGAAAATAAGGACAGATGTGCTTGGGCCTGCACTAATCTGCTCGCTAATTAAAGCTCGAATATGCTCGCAAGTCGAATATCAACGCAAAGGGCATAATTCCAGACTGGACAGTTACTTGTGATGAAAAGTGGATTTACTTCAACAACACAGGCTGAAAAGGGTGTTGGTCTGCACCCGGTAAGCATGTTGGCAGCGTCGCAAAGCGCAATTTGCTAACAAAAAGATCACACTTTGTATCTGGTAGTACTGCTGTCGTATTATCCACAAAAAGTATCTGGGAAAAGGTAAAACCATCGACAGTAAGGTGAACAGCAAGATGCTAGTCTGTGTCGACAAGAAAAAATATCAAACTATGTTCCGACGCAATAAGGTAATGTTCCATCAAGATAATCCTATGCTTTTTTTCACACCTGTAGTTGCATCCTGCTGGTGCTATCTTCCATTCTGTGCAAGACATCCAAAATGAGGTTGATATGTTTTTGAACATGCAGGTCACTAATCTTCTGGGCCAAAGGCTTTGAAAAACTACCAAAACGTTGGGAGAAAATCATAAATTGGGTGGTGATTTCTACTAAACTTACTGCTTTAATACTAGTTTAATTTTTAAATCCTCTTTTGATAACGCTGTGGATTTAACAATTTGGGAATTGCCCAGTGACAAAAAGTCTGCAATATAATTTTTTCAAAGAAAAGGCATTATTTATTATAGAAAATTATAATTCAGAAGTCAGTAACAAAAATCAGCGTTATCAGCGCTGATTTTTGTTATTTGACTTCTGAATTAGTATTTCTTCGATGTGTTATTGTGTCTTAATTATAGAAAATTATGTTTGAACAACCAACGAGATGAAACAATGCTTTAGAGATAACTCGGTAGCCACAGAGTTATGTTTAGCCTTTTTTTATATAAATTATAATAATGATATGAAATAGTTATTCACTCTTATGCTTCCATTCAGTTATGTTTATCCTTTTTATATAAATTATAATAATAAAAAGTATTATATGAAATTAACCTTTTATCTACATTAAAACAATAATCTTAGATAATTATTTACTATTATACTCCTTTTTGCATTAGGGTTGCCACAATTATTTTTGGCAGCACTGGCATCAGCAATAGTTTGGCGATTTTTTGCGGTCCTCAAAACGGAATAGTACCGAATAGATTTCTCAAAATAAACCGGAAAATCATTCAAGATTTTTCTTGAACATATAAATTTTAGGATTACTGAAATAGTGACTTATGCTCTGATCAATTGGATAATATTCCCATTTGATTGATGAAAACAGATAAATCTGAATAATGTAGAAACTATAATCTATACTATTAAATCTGTGCGTGTCTGTCTGATTGTTTGTTTGTGGCACTATCTCCTATAGAACGGCAGGGAGTTGACCTTCAAGAGAGGTACCCCCTACCAGATTCCAAAAATTCGCGGGAAGCCATTTCGACTATTCTCAGCTTTATAAGACTTTAATTAGCAGAGATATTAATTCAAAACTCTGAAAACACTCCTTTTCGCCCTCATTTTTCTGAGAGGCCACAGTCTTGCATGCTGGAGATAAAAATTTGCTTTGTTTCGAAAATTGTTGCCACTCCTCGCTTTCAAATCATAGAGTTTGTTAATAAAAAATTTGGGTACTTTTCCGTTTCGCCAGCGCAAATCTCGCTCGCCAAGCAGACTTTATTGGTGACAACATACAGTATACACATAAAAATTTTTAACAAATGTTAGTTCTAATAATTTTTCATTTTGAAGGCATAAACATTTTAATATTGTTTAAAATTTTGTAAAAAGCCAATAAATAAAGACAATAAATTTGTAAAAAAACATTAATTTAAGAATTTACTATGCTTTCATGGTTCAACATCCTGATTCGCCGGTTCATATCACTTGCCCCCAAGTACTTTCATCTCACGTAAACTACGTTACAAAAATCTAATTCTCTCCATAATTATCTACATTAATTTCAAGTTAAATCTTAATTTGGAATACAAGTTTAAATGCAAGAATTGTTCCAATTTGTACAAATAGCTTACTCAGAAATTATGTAAAACCACAGTGCTTTACTTTGCTGGTGCATTCCTCTAGAATTGATGAATTTAACACTTGACT